TTCCTCATAAACATTGTTGCAAACACTATGACATCATCCAGGTACACTAGGGCTATCCTCCATTGTACGCCTTCCAGTACTCTTTCCATCAGCCTCTCAAATGTTGCTGGAGCATTGCTGAGCCCGAATGGCATCACACGGTATTGCCATAGACCTTGGCCATAACTAAATGCAGTCTTAGGTTTATCTGCTTCAGCCATTTTCACTTGATGGAAACCCGACTTAAGTCCAGAGTTGAAAACCACCTGGTTCTACTTAGGGCATCAAGAGTATCACCAATTCCTGGTAGTGGGTATGAGTCCTTTTCAGTTATATTGTTAAGAGCCCTGAAGTCCACACAGCAACGTTGGGTCCCATCCTTCTTCTGGACTAACACGACGGGAGCTGACCAGGGACTATCTGATTCCTCGACTATCCCTTCCTTAATTAGGCCATCCATGACCTCCATCTCTTGCTGCTTTGCCAGAGCTATTGTCCTTGGACGGATTTTTATTGGACAGTGTTTATCTGTGCTCCACAAGGTCTGTGCAGCCAAGGTCATGAGCTCCTTTTGCATAATTCGCCAAACGTTCCCTCACCTGAAGAGCCTGTGATGATGACAAATGGGCTATGCTCTTCTTATAGAAGTCAGTTAAATGTTCTGGGAGAGACTGTCCTTTCTTTATGGTTGTATGTCTTGCCTTAACATTGACTAGCTCTACCTCCTGGCCCTTCCTTAAGTGTCTGCTCACATTTAGAGAAAATAGCCATTGCTATGGGTACTACTTGATGACCTGGCAAGTGACCTTCCAATCTTCACGTTTGCTGGCCTGAATGGGTCTTCCACAAGCAATGGGCTTCCTTGGGGATGTTTTTTTATTCTACCCCAAATTATCTTCTCTGACATAGAGGGTATTGTAGTTGACTTAAGTACTGTGACATGCAAACCAATAGATGCAGCAACACTTACTGGAATTTGGCCTTTGTTGTTCCCAATCATCATTTTATTGAAGTTAACTACACACTTCCTCGGTAGTAAGCAGTTCAACCCTAATATGCATTGGTCTTCAATGTCAGCCAAATATACTTTGTGTCTGTCCTTTATGCCCATGAGCTCAATAGTTACCCACACTGGTCCCCACAACCGTGGATAATGTCCTGTCACACCACAGAGCTTCTGTATGGCTTCTGGTACTCCTTTGTGATGTAGCACTATGATACTCACAAGGATTTGCTGAGAATCTATGACAAAGTTGCACTTTTGGCCATCCAGCTTTCCTATCATGTAGACACTGTGTGCTTGCTATTTTACACTTAGCTGTTGGGACTTTCACAATGGGGGTTGGTGAGTGTCCCTCAACACCAACCACTGCTGGTTTCCCGAAGCTGACTTATTGGTAATATTCTTCTTACACTAGGTCCTCATATGTCCTTGCTTTCCACGGTTCCAATAACCTTTCTGGGTAGCAGCCTTTCCGGCCATGGCATCTTCCCTGTGTTTAAGTTTCCAGCATTGAGGTCTCTTGTGCCCAGGTTTGTTACAGTGCCAGCAAAGTCCCTCAAACTTCTCTGAAAGCAGACCTTTTCTGGCCTTGAATCCTGACGACT